ACTAATATAATTATCTTTTGTACTATGTCTAATTTGTTATCAGCTTCCTTGGGCCTACGTGCCTGGAACTGTGTATTTTGTCTGAGGCCCCTCGTTGCTGTGGATCTACGTCACCACTTTTTACTTCTCTTGAAACTAGCTCACTTTGCACGTCTTGTCAACTTGTCGTTGCAGTTTTAATGTACTGGCTCTGTGTTCTAATACAGTCGTTGACGTGACTTGTTCTCATTAATGTCAAGCCTGTGAACAGAACATTTGTTTTGGCTGGCAGCAGTGGTAGTGAGATAAGCTTATGTATTTTAAGTGTTTCTGTGAATGCACGTGTATATATAGGCTATACATTGACTACTGTATATATAGGCTGTAAGTATCAACTTGTACAGCTAGGCAAGTTTTCTTCTACCTTGAATTGATCCTACCATGGCTCAACACAAAGAGAATTAAACTGCAGAATTAAGTCTTTACATCATGTTTTTCACCTTCTTTGTGAAGGCTGTAAGATCAATCATTTAAGAATGCTTATTAATAACTCCAGTTCCTGAAAGTCATGATCAGTTATTCACTACTATCTTCAGTCTTAATCAACTCCATTGCTGTTGTGTGCCTTTTGTCTTTTATTCAAATCAAAACAAGAACAGTTTGATATCTATGTGCTTCTTACTCTCCTGCCTTTAAAATCTTAATTTCATTTTTGCTCTCAGGAGTTAGTATAGTGACCTGAAGGAAAGGATGGGCACCATGCCACTATATATTTGTCTTTACAGTTACTTGGAGTTGCAGGGAGATGTAGCCAGGGCGTGAAAATGCTCAGGCTATTGTTTCAATGTAGTTGCATCATCAAAGCATGCACAAGGATAGATGAATAAATACCAGTTATTCTTTCAGAGGATTGGTAGGCCTTCTACACAAAATAAACCTTTATGCTTAAAACAACTCATGATACCAACCTTTATTTTCCCTTAGATTAACAACAAAGCAGCAACTGGAGAAGAAGTTCCACGAACTATCATTGTTACTACTCGTTCTCAGTATGGATTACCAGAGGATGCTGTTGTATACTGTAACTTCAATCAGCTCTATAAGATTGACCCTTCCACTTTGCAGATGTGGGCTAATGTGAGTACCTGTGTATCTGGTCAGGCTTCTTTGAAGACAGCAGAAGCTTCCTGCTAAGGAAAAACTTCAAATTGATGGTTCTGTTGGAAAAAACAGTAACTGGGAAGCATCTGAATCCTAATGGTGCTTGTGTTGTGGGACTTGGTATTATTAGGATAGAGAATTTTGTTTAGATTGAGTTGAGATTACATCTGTACTTTTAGTCAGTGAAAATGACATTTTAAGTAGTTTGAATATGCATGTATTCCATTGTGAAATAAGTTGTCTTCTAGTCGGCACAATTAAATTATATAAATAACATTCCAAATTTCAGGACTGCCTCTTTAAGTACTGTAGGAACAGTTGTTCAGCGTTGTTGGCTCTTTGAGTGATGAAATCTAGTGCTAGTTATTGTACTCCAAATTGTGATTTTCTTTTTTTCCTGTCTTATACTTTAGAAGATCCAAATATCGAATGATTATGTCTTTTGTTTAATCTCTGTCCGTAGCAATTTCTTAACTGTTGTTCAGAAAAATAAATGTTTCTGACACCTCTTCCCTGTATTTGCCTCTTGCTGTTGTTGCAGATCCTAAAAAGAGTTCCAAACAGCGTGCTGTGGCTCTTGCGATTCCCAGCTGTAGGAGAACCCAATATTCAGCAATACGCACAAAACTTGGGTCTTTCCCAAAACCGAATCATCTTTTCTCCTGTTGCCCCCAAAGAGGAACACGTGAGGAGAGGCCAGTTGGCTGATGTTTGTCTAGACACTCCGCTTTGCAATGGGCACACGACTGGGATGGACGTACTCTGGGCCGGGACTCCTATGGTCACTATGCCAGGTAAGACAGCAGGGAACCTGGACAGCGATAATGGGTAAAAATTTTTAAAAAATCATTTTTATGAAGGAAAAAAAACATTCTATTAATGCAGAAAAGCTGAGGAATTGTCTTTCCTCCTCTTGAAGAGGAGAAAGGAATGTAACTTTACATAGTCAGTCATTCATTACCTGGTAAGCTGACTGCTCTTACCTACCTTATATTTCCAGGTGAGACTCTGGCATCACGAGTTGCTGCCTCCCAGCTTACTTGCCTCGGTTGTCTTGAGCTCATTGCAAAAAGCAGGCAGGAGTATGAGGATATTGCTGTGAAACTGGGAACTGATCTGGAATAGTAAGTAAACTTATGCTGTGTTACAAGGTGACATGAGCAATTGTTGGGTTGTTGGGTGCAGCTGTAGGATTTGTCAATAGCTTTAATCTTGCAGACACTTAGATATTTGAGGTAATTGGATGACTGTTCCCTAGAGTTTACCTTACATCTAACTTGGCTTGTGTGTTGATGGTAAGTGGTCATCTATGCTCCCAATTGCACAAAATAATAACTTATTGCCTGTTCTGCAGAAATTGCTTGTTTGCAGACTTGGAAAGATGAAGTTTGCTGCGAGCTTTGATTTGTTTTTAAATGGAGGATTAAGTGTTTATCACTTAGTGCCAGTTAAAAACACACTGAAATGTTACTGTAGGACAGATAGTAGGCAACAAGTTACCTCGTTCGTGTGTCTAGGATGTTTGAGTGCCAGTGTTAATGGTGGTCTGTGTCAGAAAGGATGAAGATATGTGACATCAGCAGGAACTTGGGGGAAGGGAGTAGTAGATATTTTTGAAACAGTTGTATTTGCAGTCCTGGATTGGCTGAGATAGCAGATTTCAGAAAGTAAACAGTATCACAAAATGCATAGAACCTCTCCTGACTGCTTTAACTTGTTTTGTAGCCTGAAAAAAATACGTGGCAAAGTCTGGAAGCAGAGAATATCCAGTCCTTTGTTCAACACCAAACAATATACAATGGACCTGGAGCGGCTTTATCTTCAGATGTGGGATCACTATGCTGCTGGCAACAAACCAGACCACATGATTAAGCCAGTAGAGGCCAGTGAATCTGCATGAAGAGCCTGTCTGTGCACCCACCCAGAACTCTCCAGGAACTGAGCCTCTCAAACACTTCTGCAGAGATGATGAGCTAAAAACTGTGCATTTCTACTTAATCTGCCTGGTACTCCGTGGCTGAAGTGATACATGATGGTGATTAGAGCACAGTCAGACAAATTTCTTGCATGATAGGGAAAGACTCTGTAGAGCCTGGGATCCTTCTATTCCATGAGGAATTTGAATGGGATTGAGCCATGCACATGTGCTGTATGTACGTGAGACTTAGTGGTTGGTGGGGGAAGTTTGAACTGCCCAACCAATTATGTTTTCATGGATTGATTCAATCTTCCTATGAATCTCTCTCCTCTAATGTGGATTGGGAATTGGAGCTTTTTTAAACATTTGATTTTTGGGTACTCCCGTTGGTATGTGTGTGGTTCTCCCATGACAAGATTTCCAGCTAGCGAGTGTTGCTCCCTGCATTAACTTCTAAACTGTGCGGACTGAAAGGGCATATTTGCTGGTGTAGTCTTTTTTTATAGGTTTTATAAACCACTTGAGCCTATATCAGCCTTTTAATGTTTGACCTCTGTTTTGGAGCTTTCTGTAATGTGTTGGTTTAGATAAGGATTCTTTTTTTTTGTTTTGTTTTGTTTTTAGCTTCTCCAATAACTCAGCTAATTGGCTTCATGATGGCAGCTCCTATTCTGTTGAAAAACCAAATTTGATTTGAAATTAATCCTCCCAACAATGTTTTGAGGTAAACACAAACTGGTGCCAAATACAGATTTTTCAGGAATGATTGTTAATTATGTATAGAGGCGCAGTCCTAGGTACTGTAGCAAAGACTTTAAACAAAAAAAAATAAAGCTTTGGTTTGCCAGTTTGACCAATTTGACCAGCGTTTCACATTTTATACTGCCCTTACTGTGCTGCTATCAGAAAAGTATTCTGGGTTCCTGGCTTTTACCTTTATTTTTGTAACTTTAAGCAATTATTAAGTTTATTTCAGCAAAAATAATCCCAGGTAAGTATAGATCTTCTACTTAAGTGCTTCTGTGTCCACAATGTTAGACTGAAACCACCCAGAGTTGAGAGCCTTGTGAAGGGCTTGTACATACTTGATTACTGAAATGTTCTGGGGCCTCACAACAGCTTTTTTTCCTTTCTTTGTTTTCTTTTTCCCTTTTCTTCAAGTTATCATCTCTGTTCACACTCTGTGGTACCATGAAGGGCATGACCTCTATGTAAATTAATATTTTTGTATTGAAGGAGCAAGACTAATATTACCTAACATCCCAAGTCTCTACAGAAGGTCAAGGACTGTGATTTAAAAGGAGTGTCAGTTTTACTAATTTGTGCTACAGCTGGTGCAGATGGGTAACAGGTAACAACTTGTCTCCTGCTGGAACCGGCCTAGAGCCTCCTGTTTCTGTGAACTGCTGCTTTTCAGTGCACCTCTCATCTAGATCTCACTTGATGCTTGAATGTACCTGACTGACGAATACCTAGTGTCAATGCCTTGATTTCTGGTAGAGTTTAATCACTGCCTAAAAACACGAGTAAGAAACTTTGGTTGTAATTCTCGACTTGCACATTTATACCCTGCCCTGTTTATAACGGTTGTTCCGATCTCGCTGGGGAATTTTTCAGCTTCCTTTTTACGGTCTCGGACTGTGGTCGCAAACTCTGGAATCTGCTATTAAACTGGGAGTCCGGTCTCGCATTCGCTTTCTGGCCGTAAATACGGCCGCGGAGTGCGCGTGCGCCGTAAATAACCGGAGGGGCGGGGGGAGCTGCGCGTGGGGCGCAGTGCGCAGGCGCGGGGCGCCGCCCCGGAAGCGGCGCGGCGGCGCGGGCGGTTTGAGGGCGCCATGGAGGCGGGCGCCATCGCGGCGGGCGCCATGGCGCCGCCGTTGTCCCCCCCGCCGCGGCCGCGGGCCCGGCGCGCCCAGCCGCGGGGCTCCTCCGGCAGCGACTCCTCGCCCGCCTCCTCTCTCTCCTGCGGCCGCAGGAGCGCGGCAAGGCGGCGCGGCGGAGGCGGCGGGTGAGGCCTCTGCCCGGGCCTCGGGGCTCCGCGCTCGTCGTTACCGCGCTCCGCTCCGAGCGGGGAACACGGGGCCCGCCCAGAGCTGCGCGGTGGGGCGGTATCCGGGGGCGCGAGAGGCGCGGGGCAGAACCAGGAGACATCCCGACCGCTTTCCCCTCCCTCTGCTGTTACAGCCTTTCATGCATTACTAATCTTAAATAATGCACGGAATACTAGTAAAAGTAATACTAAGATTATAATCATTAATTACAGTTATTGGCTATCACTCTAAATATTTGAGATTTCACTCCCAGTTTAGGAAAGACTGGCAGGTATTAGCATGTTTCCCAACCAGTTACAGCCTTTAAGGGGCACCTAATTTTAAGATAACTTAAAAGAGGCATCCTCATGTTCATAAGCTATCACCTAGTATATTTCTTATCAAGTTGCTGATCTTTGGTCAGAAAATAGTGAACATACCTGGTGAAACAGAACACCGTGGCTTGCCTCTGTACTCGTATGGAAACCGCAGTCCACGTGGTGCTGAGTCTGTTCTGCATTTTAACACATCCAGCGGAAAGCTTTGGCCTGAATGAAGATGTTCATGACGGTTGTACTTGAGCACGTTTTATTTAAGCATGTCTTGTCTCTCACTGATGCGTGTTTCCAGATTTCAGCCTTAATTACAACTCAATATTCTCTACCTGATTATAGATCATACGTGAAATGAGAAGTGAGCTTTTGACAACCCTTTTGAACTCAAACCAGCGTAATGCCCCTCAAGTTACTGTCTTCAAATGGCTCAGTCTTTCAGATTTTTGCCAGTAATAAGTTCCTTCTTGAAGATGGAATATATACTCTCATTATACATTCTACTAGATATGTATTTAATGTTTCTGTTCTAACAAAATGGGACAGTTTAGGCTATTTCAGACTATTTTCTAGTATGGCTGGTTCTTGCTATGCACAGGTATTTCACACCAGAGGAGATCTGTGTGCTGTTGACCTAATGTTCTTGGTGCTGTTCTACATTTTGCTTTTCAGTCTTGCTCTGCACTTTTCTTCAAGCAGTGATGATGAATTTGAAATGTGTAAGTAATGGCATGTTTTTGTACTAGATAAGCTTTTCTCTTTAAAAATGCATAATGACCACTGGAACATGGTTCTTAGTAAATCTCTTGTTGTTACAGTTTTGGTTAGAATGAAAACTCCCAAATCTGTGACACGTCCAGTTTCCAAAAAGGATATGAGGTTGGTGCTGCACTAAATGACTTCCCAGTATTTGTATACGTTTTCTGTGTTAACTCTAATACTCGGGATATATTAAAAAAAAATGGTGAGTCATAGGCTGAGGAGAGTGTAGAAGTGAATGGAGACAGAGCTGTGTCCATTCTGTGTGTTCAGGTCACATGCAAAATAGAGCACTTGGAAGCATACGTGCTTTATTGCTGTTTCAGAGGGCAGTATAGCTTGTGAAAAATCAGCCTCTCATCTTTCACCCATTTAAATGAAGGGTTTGTTGGATTATGCAGTTTTTATGCGGATCTGACTTGCTCTTGACCAATTTTGTGAACATTAGATATTTATAATGTACAACCATCTCAGTTTCTGCTACTGATGGCATCAGTCTGGGAAGAGGCATTGCGTGTTCAACTTGCCGTGGGAAAAATTGCCACCTAATGTATTAGACTCCTGTTTTGTAATCTGTTGTTTGGAGCAGTATTGGCCTAAGCCACAGTAGTTGAGAATAAACAATAAAATACTCCTTAAAATACTAAAAGCTTTGCACAATTTCATGTTCCAAGCAGTCTTCTATTGTACAGCAGCATGAGCTTATTTTCTTTTAGAGTTTTCTAAATGTCATCTTCAGGATTCCTTTTCTCTAGTTCCTGGATAAATTGCTGTCCACCTCTCAAATATTAATACTAACAAGTTATCCTGTTAGGTCTGCGACCCCTCAAAACATCCTGTGACAAGGTGGAGTTGAGTCTTTAGTTCAAATTTAAATTAGGAAGATACCTATTAACAGAAGTAGTTGGTAACATCTGTTGTGAGCAGCTCATAAAGCAAGCAAACCACCTAGTATATGTTTAGCAAGTCAAACTTGCTCTTTTCCTGCTCATGCCCACTGGCATTTCATGTTATTGCTTGCTTTACAGTTTGAAGGACTTCATCGATGACTCGGATGACTTCTTCTTGGACTTCAAAAAGAGAAACAGCGCAACTAAGAGTGGCAAGTAATCATCTAACAACAAATGTGGAGCAGAAATTTTACTGTGTAGAAAATTCACAAATTTGGGGGGGAGCTTATTTAATCTCAGGTGATTCTGGCCCTTCTTTGGGGGTAACAGAAGACTGATTGAATTCTTTCTTAGATTCCCATCCTTCAGTGATGTTTCTGTAGAGTTGAGGACTCAAAGTAGTAACATACCTTTGTTCAGCTTGTCTTTATGTTCTGAATTTGAATTAGCAAATATGTTTGGCTACTGACATTAAAAATGAGTTTGTTTTGGTTAGGCCAGCTTCTCTGAAACTGTTTTTTTTCTAGCACAAACTTGCTGCATATATCTTTGAATATTAAATGTTCAATTACATATGTAGCTACATATGTACATATGTTGTTCCTTCAGGATTGCTAGGCCAGAAGGCTGATGTAACTTAGACACTGTATATTTGTACAGTAACCACAGATGACTTTAATTATTAAATTACATTTAATAAAGTAATTTAGGTAAGAGACTGGTGAAATAAAGCAGATAGCAAGATGCCTTTCTCTCCTTTTCTTCTTTTGCTGATTTTCAAGGAAGATGCTTGCTTTAAGAAAATAAGTATGCTAAGAGAATTTACTAAAACTTTAAGCTATTTCTTTTGAATTGCAGCGCGGAAGGATCTTCAGACCCCAAAGAAGTCATCGAGTTCTGGAAAAGAAAATGTTTGTTCCCAAGAATTGCTGAATTTAGGTGCTTTAAGTGACACTGAAGATTCTATCACTGTAGAAAGTTTATGGCATGATTGCCAAAAACAGGGAGAGAAAGGCTCGAAGGAGAGATGCATAAAACTCCCTCCTACACAAAATCAGAAAGACTTGGTTTCCAGGTGTAGTCCAGACTTGCTTGTTGGAGGGAAAGAAGGGAACTGTGGAAAGAAGAACACAGAAGATAAAACGCCAGCCTTAGCAGTCCGACAAAGTACAGAGTTAGAATCAGATAGCTCAGATAGTGAATTTGAATCCTTAATAGAACGGATAAGGAAACAAAGCCTGTCCCGAAAACCTGTCTTAAGTGCAAGTAAAACTGTGAACCAGCTGAGTACAATAGGTAAGAAATTAAAACTAACCTCAGAGTTACCTTTTAGGAGCAGTTGTAGTACTAATTGCCTAACTTGACTTGAGCTTTTCATTGTCACTTGTTTTCCTAATTCTTATAATTTCTAGGCTTTTCTTCGTTTTTTGAATTGCTCTGAAGACAAAGGTGAATTGATGCTTTTCAGTGGTGTCATTTTATTAGCATATGATAGTAGCTAACATGAAGCTGTCATCTGGTAATGCTGAAATTTTGAACAGTCTGGGTGCTGTTAATTTAGTGTTTATGTGGATGTGTAATTTAAATACAGTTTACAGGGACATTTTAGATAAATCAATAGCTGCTTCTGTTATTTGACTTGCTGGTAAAGGCTTGTAGCTGAGTAAGGGCAGATAAAAACAAATCTCTTTAGAAGGTTAAATAAATGGTGCTGTCCTCAATTCAGGATGAGGGGACTTAGGGAAGTGAGTGTGGAAGAGGCTAGTTGACAGTGCAGAAAGATGTCCAGGCAAAGAGCAGATCTGTATTTTGGGGGATTGGGACATTGTAGAAAAGCCAGCGGAGGGAACAGCTGCTGAAACTGCAAGCCTTGAAGGAGTGATTGATGAATTTCTATCAGGGCCAGTTTAAACAATCTGTCTGGATGTGATCTGTGAAAATAGGCCGCTGAAAGAAAGAAAATCTCTGAGAAACATCCTATACCTCTTTTCTACGCAGTTTCTTCAACTTTTCTCTTCAGTAAACTTATGGGTGTTGTAGAGAAACTGGACCAAAGGTCTGGATCAGCATGACAGTTCTTGTCTGAGCCGGAAAAGGCAGGTTCTCTAATCACTGTAGCTTATTACTTCCCCCTGCTCCCTTTGCAGGTTGCTTGTCTGTTTTTGCTGGGTTTGAAGTTAGAGATTGTAAAGATTATAGAGTCTATATAGTACTGTTGTTTAGGCTAACCCCTGATGAGGGTATCTTGGTCATTGCAATAACCTGCTTACGTTGTAATGTAGTAGAGTATTATTTCTTTAGGACCAAAGAGCACGACTTCAGGTGCACAATAAAAGTTTGGGGTTTTTTTTTTTTTTGTTTAAATATGCGTTTTAAAAGTGATGAAATGTCACAGGAAAAAAGGATGCTGAGAGAAGAAGTCACAAATACTTTCCCTTCCCTTTTGTCCTAGCCAAGTGTGTGAAATTTTGGAGGGACACTGAAAATGAATGGAAATTTTAAATGACCTGGCAAATGATTTTTTTTATCAATTGTGTCCGAGTATGACCAGAGCCATAAGAGAAGTGTGTACATGAGACAGAATGTGTGACTTGTTTCATAGCTCTCTGTTTTCTGGTTGCTGATGTCTGTGCTGCTGATTCTTTGACAAGAGTGTAATATTTGGGCTTTTCTGTTGATCTAGCAAACCGTAAGCCTTCCTATGAAAGTACTCGGCCCTCAAAAGGTGAGGAAGACAAGAAGCCAAAGTCAAGCTCCGTTTCACTTAAAGAAACACCTGCCAGGATAACATCTTCTGTGAGAAGTTCTGGAAGTGAGTCAGGCAGCTACACACCATCCACACAGACAAAGGAAAAGTAAGTGTTTCTCCACCTACGCCTGTTCCCAGAGGATTGCTAGATGGAAGAAGAGGTGCTGAGAAGTCTTTTGCTGAGGATGGCGTTCTTCTTTTCCCTTTACTTGGAAACTTTTGCTACTGATCGATTGTAAATGAAGTTGAATGGATATTTGAGCTTTAGACTTGAGTATGGCAAGGAAAATAGAGCCTAAGTGTTGAGTGGAATAAGCCATTCTGCCGGCATATTTACTTCTCCAAAGTATGAATTTTCCTTATGATTCCTGTCTATGTTCACATCTCTGAAAATATACATTTATTGTGGGTAGTGATATCAGGACAGTTGATACCTCGATCAGCTTCTGATACAATTGTGGAAGCATTCTTGAGAAATTTAGTGGCTACAAACTGACCTAAGTTGTGCAATATGATACTTCTGAACTTAATTTTTTTGTTAAGCTTCTTTTTTTCTTTCTTTTTAATACTGTCTCTTGCAGGTGTAATTCATGCTCAGTGCCTGGCTGTTTCTTGCAAGATCTCTCAAACCCAGCATCCCAATTTGTGAAGTATTTCAAAAAGAATAAAGAGGACCTGACACAGAAGCTCTATCGTCTCTATAACAACACCATCTTTGAGCAGAAGGTTGGCTTTAAAACAAAATATCACGTTTCAGCAGTGATAAAATGCTCATTAGTGTGTAGCTCCTTGCCTTGTGATGCAATTGCTCTTTATCCTCTTCAGTTGGTATTGCTGGGCTTATATTTGCGTTAGGTCAAACCGTTTTCTTCAAAGGGGATTTGTCACCACTGTGATGCTGAAGTTTTCCAGCTAGGAGACAACTTTCCCAGCTGGGATGGCGTTCACTCCTTAACTGAGCAATTCAGGTGGTGTTCAGAAAAGGCTTTGGTTGTGCTTTGAACTGAAAAATTCAGCTCTGCATCTGAGAAGTTAATGCCAGCTGACCCTCAAATAGTTTATTTGAATTTAAATAATAACTTCAAAATAACTAACTTAAACTTAACAAAAGCTGTTAGGAACAACAACAAAAAAGCTAACCAAGATAGATAGGAGGAAGGCTTATAAAACCAGGAGCAGTGCAGAGGATAAACAGGCAGTGATTACTCACCTTTTCACAGAGGAGAATGAGGGTACATCAGGTTAAAAATGACAAGTTACAGCTTCAGAACAATGAAGAAATGATTGCATTTGACAAGTAAATTAAGCTGTAGATCTTCTGATCACCGTCTATTGTGTAAGCTAAAATTCTTTTTTTTTTTTTTTTTTTTTTTTTAATTGAGCTATTTAATCCTAAGGAACCACCTCCAGCTCAGTGAGGTGTTATCTTATAAGTGACTTTTCAAACGACTAGCTGGGAAGTGTACTTGGAAAAGAAAGTTTAGTGGTGTGCCTGACCTACGGAAGATACGGGAGATAGGAGAGCGCAGATCACGTGCACTGTTTTGTTTCTCAGTTACCAGAGAAAATGGAAATAAACTGGAATAAGAAAATGAGAAAAACAGCAGGATATTGTGTAACTGGGCAGACGAGAAGCCCTGAAGGGCAGCGTTACGCTCGAATAGAGCTCTCTGAGAAAGTCTGCGACTCTGCAGGTAAGTGAAGGGAAAAATGTTGATGTCTCTCTGCAAAAGTCTTTGCTTTGAATTTTTTTGTCACCTTGAATAAGTAAATGCACAATAATCAATACCTAGGTTGAGGGTTATGAGAACTTGTGCTATTAAGAGGCTTGATGAGCACACAGCATGTGAAAACACTAGTGCAGTAAATGAAACTAAGCTCAAAGCACAGAGATGTGACCCATGCAGAATGCTGTTAAATTGTGGAATCCCAGGCTGCAGGATGCTGTGACCCCTAAAAAAGTTATAGGGTTCAAATGCAACAGAAAATGTGTAGAGGATTTCATACAAAGATATCATCTCTGGCTCAGAAACCAGAGTCATTTATTTTTAGAGACTGGGAGAGCAGTTAAAGGAACTACTGCTATATTTGTTCCCTGCTCTCATACAATTCCCTATTCGTCTGCCATTGATTACTGCTAAAGGCAAGGTAATAAGTCTTCTCTGAAGTTTCATTTTTCTCCCTCCTTTTTGTTATCAGCTTAAGAATAATAATAGCATTTTCAGCTTTTATTAGCTGTGGAATAGAAAATAAATGCAGTATTTGAACTGCCTGAATAGATTATATTTTGAAAAGAGTGAGGTGCTAATTTCTGTCTATATGCCCTGCAGGGTAAAAACAGTTTACAGGTTGTTTTTTTTATTATTATTGTTCTTCCCAGATACCGTGTCGTGTAGTGACATTTTTGTAACAGTTTGATAGTTAAACGAAAGCACCATCTGGACAAATTTATTTCTCCCATTTCTGGATATTGCCAGGTTCCTCAAGAGATCACACTCGCAATAGTTTAAAAAGGGAGTGAAACAGCTCAGTTGTCCTTTGCTTATAGTTATCTTTATGTTCTTTGTATCTAAGACAGCACTATCTTTGAAGACCTGGGTTGGTATTACCTTAGGAGGCCTCTGTCCTATAGGGATCATACCTGGCAGTGGGATAACACTGGAGCACTGGTTAAGAATGGGAGGTTTTACCTCCCTACACCTGCCTGACTTCTTTTTTTCCTTGTATTTTTGTTTTACCTTAAGACCGTCTTCGAGACACCCTCATTCATGAGATCTGCCACGCAGCCACCTGGCTGATCAACGGTGTTCGGGATGGACACGGACGATTCTGGAGATTTTATGCCAAGAAATCAGCCCTGATTCACCCGGAGCTGCCGATGGTGACGCGATGCCATACCTATGAGATCAAGTACAAGTTCACATATGAGTGTGTCTCGTGCAAAAACACGTGAGTAACGCTTTGAGGAGGGATCTCACTTGGGGTTTTCTGTTAGCTGTTCTGACTTGACAATCTCCTGTGCCAGAAATGAAGAACTTCTTCAACCCTGAAGTGCTTGGGACAGTTGTCTGGGCTGTCATTTCCCCCTGCTGGAAATGGAATCCACCACATGATTCCATGTGTTTGTTTCCACCTAGTTCCACTTCCAGACTGTCCAGAGCAAGTAGCGAGATGCCTGAGTGCTTGTCTCAGCTTTAAGGGCCCACAGGGGAAAATGCAAGGCCAATCTCCTTTTTCATGCTGCACTAAAATGACATAAACTCGTGTTCTCCCTCTACTAAAGACTTACAAAACACACTTGAGTAAACTTAGTGCATTTTTTGGATCACATTTCTGTGATTTTACAGTGAACACTGAGACTCTTATAAACTTTACAGCAGAGGACAGTGCCTCCAAATGTAAATGTATGAATCTGCCCTGGCCAGGGCTCAATCCTTTAGAATGTATATGAGCAAAGTGCTGCGTCTGTTGTCCTATTAATAGGTAGAAATAAGGCATTCCAGGCTCTTTTGTAATCAGCAAAGCGGACTTAGATTTCACAAGTAAAATCTGCAAGTGAATGTGCAGTTAGCACCCCTGAATCATTGTGCTAGGTGGCAATTCAGTCACTGCTGTCAAATTTTGTTCCATAAAATCTGTAAATATAAATTAAGACTGTGAATATGGATACCTGAAGTTAGGTTTAAGTCGGACAGCTAAATATTTGATCAGACCTTTAAAATGCGGAAAAGGCAGCGAAAAAAGTCTTAGGTGAGAAATGTCTTCACACAGATTTGATTGCTCTGTTTCCTATTCTGTTTTCTATTATATAAAGCTAGTTTAGGAGCCTGATTGAATTATTTTGGTAGAGCAGAAGCCATTCGCACAGATGCTCCCTGCTGCAGGCATGGAGGCCAAGTACTTGTGTTTCTGTGTGTGTGTTCCCCTCCACGGGGAGGCTGTGGAGTCTCCTTCTCTGGAGATGTTCCAAACCCGCCTGGATGCCACCCTGTGCCACATGCTCTGGGTGTCCCTGCTGGAGCAGGAAGGTTGGACTAGATGATCTCTAGAGGTCCCTTCCAACCCTGAACATTCTGTGATTCCGTGTTTTCTGTTCCAGGCTTGGGCGGCATTCCAAGTCTCTGGACACGGAGCGCTTTGTGTGCGCGCGGTGCGGGGGGCAGCTGCGGCTGCGGCGGCCCGCGCGGCAGGACGGCACTCCCGCTCGCGCCCAGCTCACACCCTTTGCCAAGTACGTCAAGGAGAACTACGGCTCTGCCAAGAAGGAGCAGGGAGGCTTGAGCCACGTAGAAGTCATGAGGAAACTCAGCGCCGACTTTGCTTTGAAAACCAGGCTTCAAGAGTCCTTGTGAAATCTCGGTTTCCTTGAGGCTACTTCATTTTTGTATGTATTGATAAAGTGGATCAATTTTTAGAAGATTTCAGACAATTGTAATAGCTTAGCAGACTGAGATCCTGAGGCCTTTTCTAATATGATTGGCAGAGTGGGCAAGAAGTAATGATGATGGGGAATCACTGGTATCAATCCTCTCATTTACAGTTTACTGGCTTGTATATCCTCCTTACACCTCAGATAAACAGCTTAAGTGCCTGGGAAGGAGCAGTTCTAGGCCCTCCATGGGACAGAGTTGTCATCTTTGCTGGAATTTCTGCATCCTGTTTACATGTGGGGCTTCACAGCCTGTTCTCAGTGACTCTGCTGAGCAAAAGTTCTGTTGTGGAGGTCATCTGGATAGTGGATCTGCTCAGTGAGTATATTGGGTTCTACATATGTGTGATAAACTCTGTGTATAGCTGGGATAGACAGATTTAAAAAAAAAAATCCTCAAACATGAGCCATGTCCTTTGTCTGGATGATTTTCAGACAGAAAAAGGGCAGATCTGAAGAAGACTTGACCGTGGGTTTAGGTGTTCTCCCAAGGAGAATTTCTTAAATGTTTTCCTTAAAAATAAGCTTAGGGAAAATGGTGTTTCAGATTTGTTAGAAATAGCGTGAGCTTCCTCCAAAGCCTTCCGGCCCCTAATGAGATCAAAGCTATCTTTATCATCAAGCTTGGAGGACAATTAATCCTCAGTAATCAAGCTTTTATAGAAACTAAACCTTTCCTGTAGCACTTGAATGAATGTGTACGTCAGTTGTGGGGTTTGTCCGCTGTGAACAGATTGCTCAGGCAATTAGCAATTTTGCATCATCAATAAATGTATTTTCCTACCAACTGCGTCCTCTTCACTCCGGTTTACCAGTAACTGTGCCTGGCGCCTGGATGGTGTCAGTTCCTCCTGGCTCCATGTGCAGCAGGTCCCTGACTCCTGCATCATGCCCCTCTTCCCTGCTCCACATTTACCCGAGACCTGAGGCTCTGTCAACCTCTTGTGCAACCTGGTTCTGCACCGCTTGTGCTGCCCTGGGCAGTGCCAAGTGCTTGAGGCGCTGGGTGAGGAAATGGAGCTTCCTCCGTGGTGCTCAGCGCTGCCCAGCCCGCCTGTGCTTGGGCCCATCAGGGTTTTAGATCTTTATTAACAAATGTTGGCTCTGCCCCCCCGAAAGGGGCCCGGGGAGCGATGGTCCTGCAGCTCCCAGGAGGAGGCGTCGCAGGTGGGTCCCCATGGGCCGTGAGCCCAGGCAGGACATGGGACGAGCCGAAGGTCTCCGGCCTCGTCCTGGTCCCCGCGCTGCCCTCCCTCTCCGTCTGCGGCTCCAGGGCTCCTGGGGGCCCTCAGCGCCGCCGGCGGCAGCCGCAGGACAGGGCTCGGCCCAGGGCCCGCAGCGCCGAGCCCAGCGCCGACAGGCAGCGCCGGGAAGCCGGGAAGCTCAGCAGGAAAACAGTGCCTGGCAGGGAGGAGAGCGGGGTGAGGGTCTGCGTGGGCCCGAGGTGGTGGGCACCTCATTGCTCGTGGCCAAGGACCCCCTGAGGACCTGTCCATGGCAGCGAGGGAGGCCAGGGAACCCCCACTCCGTCCCTGCAGCTCCTGCCACACGGTGCCGCGGACATACCCGAGTCGTCGTCCTCCGAGGAGCGCGAGGGCGAGCTCGTGTCCTCCGCCCGCCCCTGGGCGCCCTGCGCGGGAAGAGCAAAGCCGAGGCCGTGAGCGGCGCCGCGGGGCGGCCGTGCGGGGCCGGGGGTGCCGCGGGGCTGCACCCGGCATCTCCCCCCTCACCTGGTGCCAGGGGCACAGCGCCCTGGGCAGCGAGAGGCCGCGGCGCTTCCTGCGGGGCGGGCAGCCCCCTGGCGGCGCCCGGCTCAGGAAACTGGGTCTGGCCCAGATCGAGTGCACCGAGATCTTTACCGGCTGCTTCAGTGGCACCCAAAAGACTCGGGAGCCCTCGGGGTGCAGCTTGATGTTCAAGGGGTCCACGTAGACAACCGAGTCGTCCGACATTACGGTGTCTTCGGAACTGTCCTCCTCTTCCTTCTCTTTCTCTATCACATCCCACCTCAGGATTTTCCGCACTGTCACCGTTCTCTTCACCGTCTTGTACTCCTTCCTGGCGCTGTGGACCACCAGGTGCTCCATGAGGTCCTGCTTGCTCCGCACGTCCTTGAGGAGCTCCACGCGGGTGAGCTCGGGTTTCCACAGGTTGGGGAACGAGTTTCTGCAGAAGACCTGAAACGAGGGAGACGGGCAAGGAGAGCTCCATGTCCCTCTGCAGCTCCCGCCCAGGAGTCATCCTGGGCCCAGGGGACACCTAGGGAGGATGACACTGCGGCACAGCAATCCCACATAGGGCGGGAGGGCTATAGGAGAGACGTGGCCGTGTCCAAACCTGTCCCCCCACACTCACCTGCCTGTGCTTGATGTTAAGTTGTCCTGATAGTGTCAGGGTGAAACGTTGCCCCTTTTGCTCCTCTTCCTTGACCTTGCTCTTCCTCCACCAGCAATGGACCTTCCGGAGCTGGGCCAGGCTCTGCCCGGTGCGGCGCAGGCAGCTCATGTTGAGCTCCTCCAGGGGCTCCGTTTTTATGGAGAACGCGGAGAGATGCTCTGCAGCCATGTCCGCATGGATCCTCATGGGCCAGCCCCACAGCTGGGGCACGATGGGCGTTTTCTTCTTCTTTTTCTTCCTCTTCTTCCTCTTTTTCCTTCCCTGCTTCCCTGCCTTCCAGTCCTTCGCCAGGAAATGGGCCAAGGGGACCCTGCCAGCCCCTGGAGCAGGGTGGCCTCTCCCGCTGTCCCTGGTGCTCTGTCCTGGGGCTTCGCAGCCCGGTGCCGCGGGGACCCCGTCACCTTCCCTCGCGGGGGTCCCCGCTCCGGGTGCCGCATCCCGCGCCGTGTCCTGCAGAGCCGCACCAGGCCGCCGCGCCGCCGCCGCGATGCCCTGCGCCAGCGCCGCTCTGCAAGTGCCGGATGCCGCCGAGGGCTCCGACTCGCACTGTACAACGAACGGGCCCTCGGTGGTGAGGATGGGCAGGGCGGTGAGGGGCGCGCGCGGCCCCGGCGGCTGCAGGGCTCCCCCGCAGAGCAGCAGCTCCCAGCGGCGCCCCGCGGCGTCTTTGGGAGCCGGCGCCTCCCTGCTCTTTGCCTCGCCGCGCGTTTCTCCGGACGCCTGGGCAAATTCCACGCGCGGCCGCGGCGCTGCCAGGCAGGTTGGCCAGCGCTCGCCCCGCTCCGTGCAAGCCGCCCCGTCCGCACCAGCGACGTGCCCAGTGCGCAGGGAACGGCAGGAGAGGCTGCAGAGCTGCCGGCTGCTCCGAGACGTCTTGGTGCCATTGCTCCATGTCCTACGTTTTCCCTGTCCCGATCCCGAGGACCTGGGCACCGGCGCGGCGTGGCCCGGCTGGCTGCGTCCCTTGGCTCGGGTGCAGGAATCCCGCTTCGGCAGCACTGGGGACACCCGAGGGAGGCAGGGTGGCTTTTGCTCTTCCTTGGGCCAGCTCTTTCCCAAGTCTGAAGCCATTGCAGTGCCAGGAACAGACTGGATGTTTCCTCCTGGGTCGACTCCTCGGAAATTTCTCCCAGGTTTTCCCTGGGACACCGTCCCCCAAATTGTCATTGCCGCGATTGGGTTAGAGAGGCCCCGGTTGGAATCCAGCGGTTGCTGCTGGGCGCTCCCCTCTTCTGGTGCCCCGGCCGGGGCCGCTCCCGGCGCGGGGCGCTTGGCCGGAGCCGCAGCTCCCGCCGGTGCCTCCCGGGACGCGGCTGCCGGCGCCGGCCGAGGGGGAGCCCCGGGGGGCCGCGCGGCTGGACCCGGGCGCTGGGCGCAGGGCCGGGCGCGGGGGGTGGCCCCCGGGGAGCCGCGGGTCCCGCCGCCCCCGGCCGCCCCGGCCCCCTGCAAGAGAAGCCAAGCGGAGAGGCGGCGTTGGGGGCGCTGGGGGGGGGACGGGGGGTCCCGGGGGGCTCGCAGGGGGACGCGGAGCAGCCGCCCGCCCTCGTGGCACTCGGGGGGCAGCTGGGGGGGACAAGGCAGGCGATGGAGGCGGCTGCGATGCCACAAACTGCCCCCGCTTGAGGGTCCCCAATGAGGGTCCCCCCCACCATGTCCCCATGTCCCCGTGGTGGCTCCCCCCAGCCCCCCCACTCACCCTGGGGTGCTCCCAGCCCCTCAGCACCCCCTCCATGCCCGGGCTGGGATCTGTCCCGGGAGGTGACACGGAGGGAGCCGCCGAGCAGGGACCCTGGGGGAGGAGGGCAGGGGGGACGGGGCTGTCCCCACCGGGGACCCGGTCACCACGGGGACACCCATCACAAAGCCCCCCGCTGTGGCACCGTGCGACCCCCTCACAATGCCGGGGAAGCCTCCAGTGCTCCGGGGACGTCCCCTGCTCTGCGGGAGGCTTCGGTGTCCCCAGGGACGCCCTGGAGCTCCTTTATCCTCTATGGGGCTGGGACTCCAGCGCGGCCGTATTCGCCCCTGCCCGGGTTAGAGCCTCAGCTCCGGGGTCTGGGTTCGGGAGGGGGGCAGCGTCCTGGGCTCGCGCTGCCTTCCGGACACCCCATCCCATTCCCGGCAGCCCTCGCCAGGATGTCCCGCTTGTCCCCAACACATCCCACTGTCCAGCCTGGAGCAAAATCTTCCACCTACCATGAACTTGAGGTTCCCCCTTCACCATTTTCGCTTCAGAGAAACGTGCTCTGAGCCCTGCTAGGCTCCAGCCTTCTGATTATCCCTTTGGAAGAGAGAAGCAAGAGAGTTTCGAGCTCGGCGAGCGTTGCTTTCATCTCCGGGGCAATTCCAGCTGCCCAAGAAGCCTCCGTAGCCCCCGGGCTCAGGCTTGGGCAGCACAGGCAGCGTTTGGGGTTTGGCGTCAGCCCCTCGGCGGGGACGGCGCCATTCCCGGAGCAGGCGCTTCCTCCGCTTTGGCTTTTGTTGGACACCGCACGCCGGCTCAGCTCCGGTGGGAACGGGGCTGTCCTCCTCATCCTCGCTCCGAAGGAAAGTCCTGCCCTAGGCTGAGCTGGGCAGTGAGGGACCCTGCGGAGCTTAATGGGGAGAATTCCCCTTTCCCGGGCGCTGCCGGAGTCACCCCGTCCCCATCCTGCTCCGCCTGTCCCCCGGGAACGGGCCCTTCCCATCCCCGGCCCCGGGGACTCCCACAGCCCAGGGGCTGTCCCCAGCCCCAGACAGTTTGGGATGTGCTGGCAACGTCCCCATTCTCCCGAGGAGGGTTGATCCCTCCAGCCCCAAGGGAATCAGCTCCAAGGAAACCTATGGACTGGTGCAAGGGAGCCTCAGGCCGTGCAGGAAGGCAGAGGCAGGAGCTGCAAACCCAGGGACTCAGGAATTGGCGACAGCCCCGGAGCAGGGGCTGAAGAGCCAGGGAGCCTCATGGGGATCCTAGAGAAGCAAAGCAAGACAGAGAGCAAGATCACAGACCTTGACTGCCTCCCAGATTTTAGTATCCGGGATTTTGCTTATACCGGTGCAGAAAGACTAAAAAGAAGAAATCTTGCACAATTTTTTTTTCCTTTGGAATTTATGAGCTTCCAAAGCCAAGGGACACAGACAGCTGCTCATCAGCTGTTTCCAGCAAATGGGAACTTTCCTTTCTCGGCTCCTTCCTTCCTTCCCAAGCAGCAGTCCGACCACTAAGTTGTCAGAAACGTCACAACAGGCAACGACTTCCAGCGCGTTCACCCGGCACGTGAGGCTTCCGATGGAGCAACGCACAGGAACAAGGAGCCAGAACAGCGGTTTAACTAGGCTAGCTCAGAGGACAGACTTCAATACCTGGATGCGGATAATAACAACACACATGGGCTTAGGCTACTCTCAAATCCCACGGCAAGGACAGTTAAAGGACCAGTTCAACAACCCGGGTTATTTTCTTCGGTTTCAGGTCAATGAAGTTTCTGCAGGGAAGTGCAGCTCACAGGAATGAAAGGCTCACGTGGCTATCAGCTCTCTTTCTAGCATCTTGCTCTTCCCTCCAGGAAAGAGCCACATTTCTCCCTCAATCCAGCAGAAACCGCCCATTTCGCAGAGACCTGCAGTGCTGGGTACTCAACAGCAACCTGTGAATTAGGAGTGAAGAGACAGGATCCAAAAATGCAGGCACTGACACTCCATTTGCTGCAGCATCCACCTCACTTCTCCTCTGAGCAGCTCTGGCTTTGGAATTCTTTATGTGAAGTACACAGAGCACTGACCCTATGCCAAAGATCCCTCCCACCTCGTTCCTGCCTGGTGGATAACCTGTAATCCAGAATACTACTGGTGTTAGATTATGGTTGACCAAAGCTACTACAAGGCAGCAAGAGTGGCAGCATCAGAAATGACTGCGGAGAGACCAGCCCCTGCTACTGCTGTTCTGGGCTCCTGGCACAAAGCAGCAGAGCTGTCACACGCAGGGAGGGGACACAGCGTGTTCCCTGGCTGCTCGGCCCCCAGCCTGGGCTCTCTTCTCCCACGAGATGCTGCCTAACCCCAGCACGGGGCTAGAACTGCCTCGCGGGGCACCTGGAGAGCCGCCCCTGCTCTCCGTCAAGCTGGGGCGGACGGAGCCCTCATCCCGCAGGAACGGGCCCTGCTGCACGGAGCAGGGCCACCCTCCAGCCACAGGTAGCACTTGCAGAGTTTTATTCGTGTCTCTTTTCTCAAAGGTCCGTTTCCTCTTTCACTCCAGGGCCGCTAGTTCCTCCAAGAGCTGCTCCTTCTCCTGCTGCAGCTCCTGCACCCGCTGCTTGTTCTGCTCCAGTCTGTCCTCCAGCCACTGGAGCAGGGGCCCGCTGATGGCAGACATCTGGCTGCAGAGGTTCTTGGTGAACACTGCGGAGAGCAAGGACACGTCACGACACTGCAAACGCACCCGGCGCGCCGGGCTGCAAAGGCCCAAGGCCACGAGCACCACGGAGCACCTAGAAAGGCTCTCCTGGATCACGATCAGGACAACTCCCAGAAAAGAGCCAGGATCAGGAGCACGTGGGAGGAGGAAACAAGTTATGTCGACCTCACCTTTAAATATTTGGGAAGGGAGGACAAATCTCCAAGTGGAATCTGCACATAGGCCATTATCGATCTAATTAGATCGATAAATCTAATCATTTCCAAAGGCAGGAGCCAAATGATTAGCAAATGCCAAATCATTTCCATTTGCAGAAGCAAAGAAGGCCACATTAGCTGAACAGGTAAGGATGGATGACAAAATATTTACCTTGCAGCAGAAAGGGGATTAGGATCCAGTCTCATTGGAAAGAGCACAGAGGCCACAGGGGCATAAAACACACGAAGTGCCAGAAATAATAATTGACATCTGGCCAATCTGTACCCATGGCCTAAAACTTACTAAAACAATCAGCCCTTGCTGTTTAAAGAGTGAAAAATGTGGGAAAAAACCCTATTGTTATTTTAAGCAATTCATTTAAGAATTTCTTAAGGATCCTAAAGGATACAACAGCATGAATTCCCCTAGAATTAGCTTTCTTTTTTTTTTTTTTTTTTAATATAATCCTTGGTATTTGTGCCAAGCTGCTTCGTTACATTCCTACCCCTCCTCTACGCTGTAACGAACAAGATAACGCAGTCACAGACAGTTCCTCTGATTACACAGGGTTTGGGGTTGAAAACAAAGTTATGATTAAAATAAATACATAATAAGCACTTCTATGGTTATTTGCAGATACCCTTTATGCCAAGCAGACACTGCAGCCCACAGGTCCCATACAGGCATGGCCAACGTGACCATTACTTAAGGTTTGGCTCACGGAGCCTCGCCCAGGGCTCGCCCAGGACAGGGGCCACCAGAGGACACCTCACCTGAGCCGTTGTGAATCTTGGTGACGGAGTCTAGATGCGTGAGGCTACGGGAATGAACAAAACACACAAGACAGCAGTGAATTATTCGTCAGGCAAACCCAAGCTACAGCAACAGCCACCTACAAGTCACTGACACTACAGGTACTGCTAAACCTCCTCCTTTGGTGGAAGCCCTGTACATTCCCAAGGGTAACAAACCAGCTACTTGCTGCACACACACACAAAACCCAATCCCTCTAGTTCTAGAGGGAAGAAAAGCCAACCAGCTGACATCTAATTCCATTTTTCAAGACTCTTCTCCTCACAGCTCTTCTCTGTTGCAGCAGGAGAGCAGTTACACTCAGCTCTCGTGCTACAGGAATAGAGAGCAAGTCACAAGGCAGAGAGTGCCCAAACTCCTTAACAAGGAGGTATTCAAGCAGTTCTCCCCCCAGGCACACAAAGTGCTGATGCTTCTCATTTTTATACCCACCTTTAGTTTTTTACCCATGTTCAGTGTAGAACCTGTTAGCAAAGAGAGACTTGGTCACCTGTGAATTCTCCTGTAGGCATCTTGCTCCTCCTGGCACAGGATCTTGGGCAGCTCCACAGCTGATTCCAGGCACACTTTCCCGATGGTTTCATGGGGGACAACATGAATAGGAATTTCAATTCTTTCGTATCTAAAAAGGTATCAGATACAGTTAAATTCCAAGCAGCAGAGCAAAGAAACCTTCAGTAAGTCTGCAACAGTCTGCCCACTGTATGGCATGACCACAGGTTTAACTGTGGGAAGATGAGCCTGTGTTGACGGGCAAGTGGAAGCCTTTTATAGCCACACTCTTGTCTCAAAGTTTAATGATACAACCCCCGCAGTGCCTAGACTGTCAGCAGGAACAGCGTGACACGGAGCACGTGTCAGCACAGGGAGGTTACCCCATTGAACGTACCACACAGAAAAGATTCTGCACTTAAAGGCAAGAGCCAAGCCCTTCTGCGCAAGAGATTACTGCAGATTCAGGCTCAGACTAAAGAGAGAACTCAAATTCAGACCCAAACTACTACATTTTACACCAGGTCTTAAGTGCCTAAATTATCTAGGCTGAACCAGCTCTACTGATCAGGTTCTCTTCAAGTAGATATCATCAGCAGAAGCAATGACATCTTGTTTAGACAACTCTACACAATATTTGATCATTACTATGAACATTAAAAGTAGAGATGAGATCAAATACAACCTGGAGCTGGACATTTTCTCCTGCTGTACTTACTCTGAGCTCTTCTGGGCTTGAATGGACTGGAAACACGTGTAGAGAATCCTGCCTGTCTGAGAGCATCAGAAGAAGGTCAGATTCCAAGGAGTGAGGAAAAAAAATCATTTAAAATCCAGAATTCCTTCAGGAAGCACAATATCCTTTCAAATAGCATTTTAACAAGTTGTAAAACATTCGACTTCTGTTTTGATTGGTAACATTAGAGCAGGTAGTGATAGCTATGGAAAAAAAGAATCTTGTGTTTTTTTGGAAAACCTAGACAAGACCCACTGGCAGCTCATCTCACACTGCAGCAGCATCTCAGATAATTTAAGTGCTCTAAAAAAGAACAGGGGGCCTCAGGCACAGAGATAAAATAGGCTAATTCTGCCAAGCAGGTGAAGGACATTTGGTCTTTCGGTGCGCACAGACTGAATCAGGCATCTGATCCGGTCCCAGAACCTGATCCCCACACAGCTCTGCTACCAAACCTGCCTGGGAGCTCAGGAGGGAAGAATAATTTACTTTTCTATGGATCTGGCTCATGCCCCAAACATCTACATTTTAGCCACGCTTCGCCCTTGCTGCAAACAGCAGGTTTGCACTGCAAGGGCAAACAAAGGATTTCAGTTTTGCTGGGGTGCTGCCTCCCATACCTGAAAGACTTAACCAAACGTTTAAGTCGCCTACCTTTGTGTTTTTGTCCTCAATAAAGCAGGAGAAAATAAGCCCTACAAAGCCCTGGTCCATCATCTGATACATGGCTTGGGTGCGGACATCTGCAGACAGACACAAAAAAGAGTCCTGATCAACTGAAAGACTGAGAAAAAAAGATCTTTCTTTTGCTACCTTTCAGGGAAGGGCTCTAAATTTGCTAACAAGCACAAGATTTATCTTTTAATTCAGTATCCTGAAGTTCTTTAAAGAAAAACAAAAGGCATCCAGCTTTAAAGGAACATGGAAGCATCTTGATGCAACCTAAAAATGGAACAGCAAATCTTTAAAAGAAGAGAAAATGGAAGGGAGGGGGGAAAAAAATCTGAGCCTCTTAACATCAGCCTGCAGCCACAGACCAGCCACACGGCCATGCACGTCCAGTGAATGTAATTTACTTGCATGGGTCTTTAAAAGAAATTTTTGCCTCAGCACAGCTGCCAAATGACAACACAGCACAATTAGTATTCCCGGGGCTCGTCTGGCATTCCCGTGCTCCCCTTTGCAGCTCTATTTGTCTGGAAGAACCGCAGGAATCCCAGGGCTCCTCTGAGCTGAGTCATGTGCAGTGTGAGTGCCCTGAGCTCCCGTGCTGGGTAACAAACGGGAGCCTGGCTACCTCCCAAAGCCCACCAGGACAATCTCCTCCTACAGAACCTTGGGATAAACCACCTCTCCCACCTGGACACAGCTCCAGGAATTCTGCATCCCTACAGGCCTGTGAGGTTGTGTGGTGGTTGCTGGGCTCAGGACAAACTCATGGAGCCAAGAAGGCCGAGCAGCTCCGTCCCAGCAGGAGGATCAGTGCCAGGGAACAGGGCAACTCAGAGCTGGGAAGTGTGGATTCAAGATCCAGCAGCTTTGGAGCAACGAGGGTAACGAGCTGCGTGTTTTCACACAGAGCCTCGTCCAAGACTCCTCTTACCCACGTGCGACGGCCAGACAGTGATATGAGGATGAGAGTGATACCAGCCCACGACCCTCATGGGCCGCCCCGTCATTTCAGCCAACCTGTGTGTCAGTCAAGGTCCTTCCGAAACCCACAGCGCGGAGGGAAGAAGTTCTTTGTGCCGGCAAAACAGGACAGAGACTTACAGAAGCTTTCCCAAAACTCAGTGTGACTTAAGATCACTTTGTAGGAGTGACACCTAGGAGGAAACTGGAGGAAGCCTCTGTCCCCGAGGCAGATGGACCCTGGCTCCGTCAGGGAATTCCTGCTGTTGGGTGGAAGCAAACTGGATTTGCCTGCAGGTGGGAAGTTGTATGTACTTACCTACACGTAAGCAAGCTGCTCAACGCAGCACCCTCAGCTTATACTGGAAGCTGAGACTTGCTGGGTCGTTATTTGCTAATGAATTTCCTTGCTATACTTATTAGTTGTTGCCAACTGTAAATGCAAGAGTACTTGCACCTGTAAGCTGAACTGCTGCCCTCCTCAGAGCAGAATTTAGAGATTTATAACTAAACGAAAGGCCAGCTATAATAAATAATGCTTTATCTACTCCGCTACAAGCCCTGAAACCAAGAGGGACCCCGAAGGGCGCGGAAAGGATATCTCGGCTTCCGTGGAGGCGGCCGAGAGCTGCTCCGGGGAGATCTCCACGCGGTCCTTGCGCTTGTCGGAGCGGCGCAGGATGATCACGGAGTGGATGTGGACGATCCTGCTGGTGTCGACCTGGAGAAAGCGAGAACGGGGAAAAAAAACGGTGGAAACGCCCTGCGAGGGGCCGGTGCGGGCGCGGCGGGGCCGGGCGGTACCTCGCCGATGCAGAGCCCCATGACCTCCTCCTTCTCGGTGCTGAGCGCGTGGTTGAGGCACACGAGGAAGGCGTCGGCCTCCAGGTGCACGGCCTGCACCGCCATCTTGGCGCCGCCCGCCCTTCTTCCCCGCCCGCGCCGCGCCGCGGCGGGAAGGGGCGGGGCTGCGGCCGCGCCAGCCCGCCTCCGCCGTGGGATGAGCCAATGGCGGCGCGCCGCCGCCACGCTGCCAGCCAATCGCATGCTTTCCTTTCTCTCCCCGAGGGGGGTAGGCTCGCTTCCGGAGAGGCGGGTGGTCCCGCCGGAGGGAAGTGCCGTGTCGCCCACGCGGCTGGCGGCGCG